ATTGAAGATTCGTATATTTAAAAATATAATCTATTTATTCAACAAATATTCATCATTCATAGTGTACTTGGAATTTCATAAGAATTTTCCAAATATTAGCTAAAAAAAAATACTTGTATAGAAATATATTAATAAACATAATATATATTATTAAAAATATTTTAAATCTTTAAATTTTTAATTGTTTCTTAATATCTCTGTTGTATGCTGTTTTATTAAGATCTTTTTTATATTGTCTATTTGTTGTGACAACAATTAAATAAATTAAGTTAAAATATTATGCACATATAGTATAACTTTAATTATTATTACACAAGAATAGAGATTTGTAAATAACAAATGTCTAGTCATTCTTTTATTGAAACATTTCTTTTTAATGACTAATACTATAGATAATAGGTGAAGAATAGTATATTAATCATGAATAACAAATAATTTCGTTTATTCACTTATTTATTTATTTATTTATTTATTTATTTATTTATGTATTTATTAATAATCTCATACCTGTTTACTTTATGTATAAGTTTATATTGTGAAGTATATTACTGATTAATTTCAAATGTCTGCTTCATTTGAAGATCATTAGAAAATTTGTTATCTGTCATATTATTATTAGTGAGATATTTGTTACTATCATTAGTTCAACAAATTTCTATTGGAAAATTATACGATTTACAAACGATTCATTATTGACAGAATTTCTATTAAAAGTATTATTATTTTCAATAATTTTTATATTTTATAAAAATTTTGTTATAAAATTTTGTTCAATCTCTATATTCAATAATTTTTATATTTTATTTTCAATAATCAATAATATTATTATTTCAACAATAACAAGAATCAATTTCTATAATGTTATTATTCCGATAGTATCAAACGTTGATTAGACTTTTAATAAAATACACATAGAATATATTAAGTACGAAAGTGGCATGTTAACTTCGCAAGATATGCAATGAGATTTATCACACTTTGAACCGCAATTTGCACCACTTTGTGAAACCTAATATCTTAAAGCACGTTCAGTTACGAGATTAATTGGTGTCTATTTTAGTAGCAATCCTCTTATTTGAATATTTTCGTGTATCTGTGTATATCTGTGAGTCAAATGAAAAAAGGACTGTTCTGGTGTTTTTTGGTGTAGGGAAACTATTTTGCAATATTTAGATGCACACTTCAAAAAGTTTAATAACCTGTCATTTAACATTTAACAATCATAAATTTAGTTTTGGCATTATTATTTTAGCATCGACGGTTTCATCATGGCACTGACAAGTTTCTGTTTGTATGCTACATGTCACGTAATACATGTCAAATTTTTATATTTTAGAGGTAATAAACTTTTAAATATTTGCAGCTCTTAATTTTTACATTTTTTTTAATTTTCTAATATCTTAGTTTTTTTATTATCAGATCCTTGTTTGGATTTTTAAATTTGCAAATTTTAAAACTTATAGATTTTTAGATTTTTAGATTTTTAGATTTTTAGATTTTTAAATTTAAAAATTTTTAGATTTTCAGATTCTTACATTATTAAATTTTCAGATTTTTATTTGTTGAAATTTTGAGATTTAAAAATTGTTTAATTTATAAATTTTCTAAATTTCTAAATTTCTAAATTCCTAAATTTTTAAATTTTTGAATTCTTAAATTCTTAAATTCTTAAATTCTTAAATTCTTAAATTCTTAAATTCTTAAATTCTTAAATTCTCAAATTTCTAAATTCTGAAACTAAATTCTAAAATTCCTAAATTCCTAAACTCATAAATTCTGAAATTCCAAAATTCTTAAACTCATAAATTCTGAAATTCCAAAATGAACTTATGAATTCCTAAATACTTAAATTCTAAAGTTCTTAAATTTGAAACCCTTCAAACTAATAAAACTCCAAATTCGGAATTCTCAAATTCCAAAATTAAATTTCACTATCTCTAAAAACCACGTAACATAACACAATACAAAACAATCCCAAACTATAGCTATAACAATTTATAATTCTTTACATGTCTCCTCTATTCATCCTTTCGTCTTGCGAAGGTTAAACGGTATAGAAATCACGTATAATTATCGCACCTATCAAAACACAACTGTTTTCTTATATAAATTTATAAAAATTGTTTATATCCACACTCAAATATTAAATCTTCAAAATACAACACAGGAAAATAAAGTATCTGACAAAATTGTGTCAAACATATTAAATCAAAAAACATTCTACATATTTCTAATCAATTTCAATCAAACCATATTTTGTCCTTTTATTTATTTCAAAATATGATATTTATCTTACAAACCTCAGATAAAAAAATTACAAAACGATATTTAAACAATTATCTACACTTTTAATTAAACTGAATACAATTTAAATCTGAGGTGATCAAATCATTTGATCACAGGCTGATCAAATTTCTAAAACATATTATTTAACAAATAATTGTATTGTTGAACCATATTTGATAAATTTATAAACTAAAATTTTATCAAACATTTCACTACCATTTTTACATAAAAATGTTCAAGTATCTTCCAAAAAAATATCTGAACAAAATTCGTGGGATTCAAAATATGAAAACTGCAATCGTATTTTGTCAACAAATCGTCAAAAAACAGATCATAGAAATTTTAACACTAAACAAAATTTAAACCGGGTTTAAACTTAAATTTACAAGATTTAAATTAAATAAAAACAGACGAAAAATTAATATAAAAGTTAATTCTTCAACTCGATGTGAATCAATGAAAGTGCAAGTTAATTTAAACTTGCAAAATTTGACAACTTAATTTGACTATGACACTTTCAACCTTGATATTTAATTTATTTTATTTTTGAACGCGTGTTTACGTACCTATGAGTTTCGATCGAAATTCATGTGGCTCCCCCGTGGTTTGACAAAATGGTCGACAGAGTGTCAAAAAGTGCACATGAAATGAAGGTTCGAGCAATGTCAAATATCGGACAGAAACTATTCGAATGGATCCTCGAAGCGAACTGTTCCGCTGGAGACTAAAGACGACAATACATCCTATAGTATACATTGCCTCTATAGTTAGACTCCTGACACCCCACCATCGTGTACGAAGGAAAAGCATAGTATCTCTTCCACTAAAATCTAACAAAAGACAGATTCCGTGGTTGTTACAATACCAGTTAGCAATATTTTGCTCTGCTCTTTTACCGAGCAGGTGCAAGGTGCTCGATATTTATCGTGTACGCGTTTGCCAGCTTCGTTTTGGTACGTACATGCATTTATTACGAGAGTCAAAAACCGAGCCACGAAATTTGAATCTTTAAGATTGTTTAATTGTTCGGCCTGGGGACGAGGTTTCTTGAATATAAATACACGATCGCGGTTTTCTTTCGTTCGAACTGGGTTGCTGCGTGGGACATCGATTGATTGAGGATTTGTGTAAAAAAAATTATATGATTTGTGTAAATTAGTATTTCATTATTGTGGTCTGAGGTATCTGATTATTACAAGTGCAAATCGTTTGATTTTTGAAGAGTGAAATTGTATAATTGAATTATCTGATTTTAGTAATTAAAATTGTTTGATTATTATAGATTAAAGTTTTATGGTAAGTAGAGGTAAAAATTATTCGATTATTACAGATAAAAATTATCTGATCATTACAAGACTATATTTTAGTACTATATTTTTAAACAGCTGATTTAAAGAAAATAAATCATTATTTAAGTGTCATCAGGGAGTCAGTTTTGAAAAATTAGATGGACAAGTATATAAAAACTTCTAGCATTATATTTTAAAATAATTAATTTAAAAAAAAATGTATTAGAAGTGCCTAATATTGCAAGTAGTACTAGTTAAATTTATTTTCACTAATACTACTATTTAAATTTATAAATATATAGCATTAATACTAATACTATACAGGATATCCACCGCTATACACATAACAACTAAATATATAAGTCACTGGTTATTAATGAAACTTCCTCAGTTAATCTTTCTGTCAGTTATTTCTCTCTGTCCATCAGTTGCCTATTTTTCATGAACTGTGTTTTCAAGATCACACGAAGGTTATAGTATTATAAGTTGAATTTGATTTGATCTCAGCATAATCAAGATTAACGATAAAAACATATTATACCATTTAATTCTAAATGGTTAATCCTTAAAATCTCGGAAAATTGGCTTTGAGAAGAATTTCTTTACCTTTATAATAATAAAGTCTCGATACAAGCAATGATCTACACGATATAAGCGAAAAAGCTATCCCCACCAATAAAGTCTTGAAAATGTCATGAATGTTGCTTACCGAGAAATATAACGTAAACAAAACTTTTTCATTTTTGTCTGTTTCGTTATCAAACTTTTACTAAAAAATTTTGGATATTTTTCTAATTAAAATGTTACCAAACATAATGTAAATCGGAGCATATTTATTTGTAATAACTTATAGAAATAAAATCGTGGAAGTCATAAAGCCATAGGAGTCTACGATGACGACTGATGTATCACGTGATTATACAACGTATAAAACACCGAAAGAAAAACAAAATTATACAACATTCATTACTCGTCCATTTGCTGCGTATTTTATTATAGTAAAACCTAGATGAAGGAGAAATACTTAAGATTACACGTAAATATGTTTCGAATTACGTTGTGTTTGGTCTCATTTTAATCAGGAAAATATCACAAATATGTTGGTAAAAGCTTCATAATAAAATATTAAAAATAAAATAGTTTTATTCTTGTATTATGATTGTTACTGCTTGTTTACGTTCAGTCGTTCGGACGTTTTCGTCGCCCGCTACTTTTCTACGTTCGGCAAACTTCGGTCAATGTCGGAACTACTAACCGAACGAAAGGTCCGCCCGAGAGATTTACTTATATCGCGTAAAATTGTTTGTTTATCACTAATTTCTCCGATTGTAATGATCATTGAAATTATACAATAATCGATTCTGTGCTAATTTTTTAAAAATGTTTTTAGGTTATTAATTATAATCAAAAGAAATAAGTACTTACCGTAAACGTGTAGAATCCCTCGGGTATAGGCTGACCACCAAACTTGATGCTGAGAGTATAATCACCAGCATCGGCGACGGTATAGTAAATGTTTACTGTGCCATCTCCGTTATCTTCGATATCAATGTCTACAACCTCACTAAAAACATAAAAAGATCGTTTTTTAAAACGCTACTAAAAATCTTTATAAGGTGAAGTGGGCTAAGTGCAAACTGGTTTTTGTAAAGTTGGTATTTAAACGTAAGTACTTTCAGTCTGCTATGTAAATACTTAACGCTGTCGATATCGAACGCTTTGCACAATTACTACTATTTTATTAATATTAACTAGAACCTTAATTTTCCTTGTACATTTTGATTTTTATAGGAAATTGTTTAAAATGTCAACTACTCTGCACTTTCCCCGAAAATGGGATAAGAGCGTAACTTGAAGTTAAATACTTTGAAACTTTATTTCATGTGCAATGGGGCAAGAGCAGAATTATTAACAAATCTGCTATAAAATGCTTTTTACTGCGTTATGCAAGTACTTTATATTGCAAACAAGTACTCTTAGCTGAAATATAAAAGGGGATATAGTGAAACAAAACAAGGAAACAGACATACTAAATGGAGAAATTTCGCTCATCGTATAATCAAAATAGCCTGTATACGCACTTGTCCCGTTCACCTTCTTACCCCACTTCAGCTTATAATTAATAATAATATGTATCAAATTTTTGTTCTTTCTTTTGTTAAACTAAAAGGATGTTATTATATTCTTAAGATACTCTTTTGTTAAATTAAAAGAATCATTCGATATTCTTAAATTATTTCTTCTGTTATTTTTTAATCAATAAATAGATTTCATACACTTTTTTATTCTTTGCGTTCTATGAATGCTTTCTGCATCCTCGTCTATTTTCCTCTGTTAAGCAGCGACTTGTTACACGTCGTTGATTTAAGTGAAATGACCTATGTTATTTTAAAAACTTCATCGCGACCCCGATATTTATTTTTAAATAGTAAATTTATTGATGTCGAGTCTCCTGATGCGGCTTCCTAACGATGACTTCTCAATACATGTACGTTACCATGTCATCCATATTTATAGAAACTACTTTTACATTTCTTTATAATATAATTTTTAATTTTAACATTTTTTTAACGATTTTTAATAATGTTGAAATAAATAAACAAAGTTGAAATGTTAGACACATTCTAAATTTACTGATCATTGATTCTGAAGATTATAATTTGAATTGGTCCCAAAATTTAATTACATTAAAAATGCGAATCAAGTGTGTCATATTTGAACTATAATGTGCGTCATGCGTCAACATAAATCGGAATTGTAATAATTTTGTACCTACGAAATACAATTACTTTTCGATAAAGTACTCACACAGTTCTTATACAAAAATCAGTTAAACAGAAAAAAAGACAAGTGGACTTTATCCCACGAGGTTCTCAGGTACACAATTAAAAAACTACCGGATTATAAGCATATTTTTCTGAATATACTGAATATATGCATACTTTATAAGCAAGAATTTGTAAACGATTAAAAGCCATTTTTAAAAATAATTAAAATTATAAGGTAACTATACTTATGGGATATATCAATTTAAATACTTGAAACGTTTAAAAAAGTTGCATGAATTCTTTCAGACTATTTGATAGATTCTACTGATCGGAGGACGAGTCGGACGTGCACGAACCACGTTTACATTTTAAAGGTAATAAAAATACATTTAAGTAGTATGGATCATACATTGCCAAACTCGCTATAGTCAGTTCAAAGAATTACTGCAATTCTGATACTTTGACAAAAATTACTTTGACAATTATCATGCGTTTTTGCTCTTGAAACGTACATTGTTTCGCGAAAAAGAAAAACGTAACGCGTAATGATAAGTAGGTGAGTTATCAGGTCCTGCGGAAAATTTTGTCGCTTTTTGTGTCGGTGAAAGAAAATGCAATGATCTGATTAGATAATGGCCTTTACTCGTAAAACAAGATTCATTAACCCTGCTACGGTCTTTCGGGTCTTCGTCGACTCATGACGCTTTTACACCTTTAAAAACTTTTACTGTTATCAAGAAATTATTATTTGTCTAGGGTAATCTAATACATTATAATAGCTTGGTAAATAAGTAACATCGATCGGTGACCGTGTCAAGTATTTTGTTATAAATAAATAATAATATGATTGTTCTTCAATATGTTGTGTAATTGTTAATATGATTAACACTTGAGTTTCGATTGAAAGTATGACATATTTTCGTACAAATATTACCTATATTATTAAAAATTAGTTTGTTAACCTAATTGCAAATATTCGTACTACGACCTATGAATAATAAATATTACAAAATATCGTGAAAATATTTGCAAGATTGAGAATAAAAATATTACTGAATAAAATTTTTAACTGCAGGCAACGTGTTAAAGTTAGAACATATGGAACTTTTCGTTCGAATATATTTATTCATCTACTGCGGTTTTCGTATAAGAGACTCTTATTCCGTTTGAAGCGAGTGAATTGTTTCCTTTCGGTAGCCTACTATTATACTGTATGGAAATAATGGACCATTTATCTTTCTATTTTACACGCACATTGTAACCCAATACTATTTTGTGAAGAGCGTTACTTGATTACTTAAAGCTAGTATAAATGTTCAAATAAAGAAATAATTGAATCGAGATTATGCAAGGTGGTTCAATTTTGACCATATTTACTTCTTAACCCCTTCCCGTACTTTGGCGAGTCTCACTCGTGACGCACTTACAGCTCAAATGTGACAAACCTTACTCAAACTTTGAACATTCTTCAACTTGAAATTTAAGTCCAACTGTAAGTTGCATTATCAAGGATCCCTGAATATAAAATACTCACAACGTCCTAATTTTCTTTGTTCGTTTTAATGTTATAGCCCTGAATAGTTAGTCTTGACTGACGCATCTGTTAAATAAATGGTACGGGGAAGGGTTAATACTTGTTAGTGAGTCTGTAACTCATTTTATGTTATCAATTATTTTCAATTAATTAGTAAAATAGATTATTGCAAAAATATTTCAGATATTTGTACGCATATGTGTTCAATGCATAAGTAGTGATAGAACAATGTTGAAAAGTGGCCTATGTTTAACGGACAGTGTCACAGTACAAGGCTACATTGTAGGGACAATGTGGAAGTACAAGCCTATATTTGACGGACATTATCAGAATACGAGAATATGTTTTATGGGCAACGTGAGGGTACAAAATTACGTTTTATGGACAACGTGAGGGTACAAGATTACGATTCACGAACAATGAGTGAGTATAGCTCACATTTCACGGACAACGTGAGAATACAAGACTGCATTTGACGGACAATGTCGGAGTACAAAACTATATTTTATGGGCAATGTGGGGGTGCAAGACGACGTTTTACGGATAATATGAGGGTACAAGGCTATGTTTTAAGGGCAACGTAAGGAGACAAGACTACATTTTATGAACAAAGTGAGGGTACAAAATTACATTTTACGGACAACGTGAGGGTACAAGAATACGTTTTAAGGACAATGTTAGGGTATAAGCTTACGTTCTGCGGACAATGTAGGGATACAAGACTTCATTTTGACAATGACAAGGTATAAGACTACATTTTATGAAGAATGTGGTAATCAGTGTATGTTTCATGGACAACGTGCGAAACTATTTAGGTTCCAATTTTCCATATTACAAAATTCCCAAATTTCTATATTTTCGAACGTCACAATTTTCCACATTCCAAAATTCAAAAATTGCTATACTCTCAAATTTCAAAATTTTTCATATCCCCGACGAAAAGTTTCCAAATCTCCAAATCGTAAAAAAAGCAGATTCCACCACTCACACAAAATACGCGTTATACATCTCTAACAGTAAGTAGTATTATATGATAGTGCTCTTTTTCCTTATATTGTCATGTTTCCTAAAAAAATTTATCGACCCTTATGCTTTACGCACATATCGCCAGTCACCGATTATCCTCATTAAACGCGTTAATGATGCGACTGACTGGTTTGTAGTTTTTCATGAACGGCCAATTGTCGAGAGACAAACGTTTGCCAAATACAAATTTACGTAATAGATTGTTGATACTTGATTTGCCAACGATGCAATCTCGCAATAGTTCGTGTACACGTTTTTTCGTTATTTGAATGCGAATAATTGCTTCGGATAACTGAATGTTTGTGTGACAGGCCATTTCGGTGATATAACGAAACAGTAACTATCGATTAACTGTGCGAAACGTTGCTACAAATACACCGAATAAAATATATGACGTGTGACGGAAATGGAAACCTTTGGCACGAAAGTAGTAAATACGAGTAGTATGTTGTTGAACATCTCTGAAATCGTTAATCTCGAAAAGCTAATACCAATTGTTATTGGTGAAATTGGATATTCATTTAAAATCTGTTCGCAAGAACAGTACCGTAATTGATGGGGTACTTTTCTTGGGCACATTTAAAGACTATCATTAAATTTTAGAATGTTAGAATTAAGTAACTTTTGTTATTTCTACAGTTTTGGAATTAGTGATTTATTGAATTTCAAAATTTATATTTTTTACTTTCAAACTTCTTGACTTCACTTTTTGTAAATTCTTCAATTTTCAAACTTCTTCATTTCAAACACAGTTCTATAGTTTCAAATTTCAAAAATCTCTGAGTTACACTAATTTCAAATTTCAAAATTATCACAGGAAGTCATTTCAAATTTCAAAATTTTCAGACACTAATTTCAAATTTCAAAATTTTCAGACACTAATTTCAAATTTCAAAATTTTCAGATACTAATTTCAAATTTCGAAATTATTATAGGAAGTAATTTCAAATTTCAAAATTTTCAGACACTAATTTCAAATTTTTAAATTATCACAGGCAGTAATTTCAAATTTCAAAATTCTCACAAACACTAATTTCACAGACGTTAATTAAATAAAAGTTATAACTTTGATAAAGCGTTTAAAACCCTATTTTAATATAACATCTTTATTTTATTTTTGTGTATGGCTACGTTGATGAAGTTTGACAGTAAAAAACTGGAACACTTTGTATAGAAAATATCTTGCAATACTACCAATTAATTTCATGACTTAGTTGCTGTGATATTACTATGTTCCAGATTAAATACACAGATTGCTCTTATATTTACATATGCTGCATGTAGCTTACAAGAAGTCTCAATATATCACTGGAGTAGAGAACCAACACACAATGTGATTATCTTCAGACTTCTTGTAAAGTACGAACAGTATATACATATATAACAAACATATTCAACAACAACTAACAATAAATCTTACCTTCCGGATGTGGAGCGTATGCGACAGGTCACTGCACCACGTCCAGCATTTTCAGTGTCCACAGTGATGCAGTATTCTTCACCTTGAGCAAGCGTGTGTTGAATACCCTCTTTGATTTTGCACTGGTCCGCTTTTCCTGTGGAAACACTTTGGACGTTCACGGGACAACCCGACACTTCTTTGCCTCCGTATTTTACGTTGATCTTGTAACGGCCACAATCGTCGGGTAAATACGTCGCCTTGTATTTTCCATCGCCTAAGTCTTGGATTTCAACCCGGCGAGGAATTTGATCAGGACCCTAAAACAGATGTCAGCTGTCTTAATTTTCAGTTATATGTAACCAGACAAAGAAATAAAACAAGTTCACACAGGAGAATTTATAGTAAAGATTAACTATCAGGAGGATTTATAGTAAATTTATAGTAAAAATATACTAGGAAACTAAAAGTACTAGGAAGATTTTCAGTAAATTGATAATAAAGATTAACTACTAGGAGGACTTACATTTTTATGATAAAGATAAATTACTAGAAAGATTTATAGCAAATATTAACTACTACTTCTTAAACTACCTAAAATGTACAAGTTTCCCAGTCCAAATCTTTTTATAAAAAATATTCATCTTCTTGCATTCAAAATTAAGACTGTTATATTCGCCTACTTGCAACTCAAATTTACTCTTTTTCAATAAGCTGAAAATGTGTTCAAATTAATTATGTAGTTAATTGAATATCAATTAGACTTATTACTTGTTAAGCTAAGTATCTGATAAATTGACTACCTAGTATTTATAGAATATCTGGTGTATTAGGTATCTAGTAAACTTGTCTAGTAAACTTATGTTAAGTATCTGGTAAATTAACTACCTGGGAACTTGAATATCTGACATATTAATTATCTACTTATTTAAGTGTCTGATTAATTAATTATCTATTAAGTTACCTATTAAATCAACTATCTGTCAAATTGACTATCTTGTAAATTAACTACTTCATAAATTAAGTATCTGTTAAATTGACTTACTGGTAAATTAAGTAAGTGTCACATTGACTATCTAATAAAATGAGTACCTATCAAATTAACTACCTGGTATGTTAAGCACCCAAAAATTGACTACTAAAACAGTAAATTATCCGTTAAATTGACTACCCAGTAAGTTGAACATCAAATAGCCTACCTAGTGATCCATGCTTAACACATTACCTACTACTGCAACATCAAAATTAAATCCAGGACTCTTCCTATAACAAAACTCGACCATCCATTTCCCACTCACCAAAACTTGAACTTCAAGATCTCCATATCCAGCCTTGGAAGTATCGACCACGAAATCAATCGGGAAAGAAGCTGTGCAGACAGGTGCCACTCCAGGACCAGACAAGACAACCTTGTTAGGTTCAACTGTGGGTAAAACCTTCGGTTTGAACGGACTTCCCGGAATGTCTTCTCCATCATATGTTACTCGGACTTGTAAGTTGCTTCCGGCTGGTGGTGGTTGATAAATTACTTCGTACAATCCATCCCCGCGATCCTTGATTATCGGAGTTTGCACCTGTCCTTTGTCAGTCTTCAACATAATGTCCAATTGTGCTGGATTGCATTGCCACGTGTTGACTACAAACTTTGCCGGTACGTTTTCCCGCACGGCTTCTATTCCGGCACCATAAGCGGTCACTTTGCTCGTATCGGTATCGCTTACAATCGGGATTCGGAAAGGAGATCCAGGTATATGTTGATCCGCGAATTTGATGGAAAATTCGTAATCACCCGGCTCGTTTGTGGTATATTCTACAGTGCAGGAGCCATCGTAATTGTCCTTGCAAGTTGCCTTCACTTCGTTGCTGCCCTCCACAGATAAATTCAGACCACCTTTTCCTGCATCTAAATATTTAAATAATTTATGTAAATAAGTAAGTATATAATTCATGTAAGTTATTTAGGTCAGTAAATAAATAGTTCATATGCAAAGTCATGTGCGTACAGTTACAATTTTCAACCATAATTAAGTGAATAATTTATGATATTTTATTTATAAGAAGGTAGTAGGGAAGAAAGACTAAACATGTCTTACTTTATAATCATTTAGTACAAATAAAAAAACAGCGAATATCTCTGAATATATTTTCAGGGTCGTTGTCTTAATGCTGAGGACAACTTTTTCGCTTATGTCGTGCTTTCCCGCTTATATAGGGTGGCTCACCATATTTTGTCATCTACATTTGCGTAATTATTATTACTCATAGCAAACAATGTTTTAGATGAAATTGAATGGTTTTGAGAGGGGCATATGATGGTGGTATATTTTTTTTGTTGGTGGACATGTAAAGGACATATGAAGGTCATTAATGTTTTTTTAAATGGAATCATATATTTTTTATTTCATCAGCTGATACTCCTTCCTATTCTTTACAAAAAAGTATTAATCCATTTATGTGAAAAAATCATTAGTATAGGGGATATTTTAATTTTAATGTCTGTTTACAGAAAAGGCTCAATGTGGCGACTATTTGCATCAGAACACTTTCTGAATCGAGAAATTAATGACTTACTAACATTCCATAGTGTATAATCTTTCTGTGTAGCACGTTTCCCAGCTTCAAAATAAACTGATAACATGTCTATCTTTTCTTCTTTAGAATACCTCATTATGAAGTGATTATTCACCGTGTCGTCGTATTCATCGTATTAGAGACATAAGAGAGACAAAATTTCACTGTTACTGCATAACAAAAAAAAAAACCAAAAACTCACAATTCGTTTAATGACACCTGACCTCTCATAGCACGTAGCACGTAGGTAAACATTTGCTGTTTAGTTAAATTTATGTGAAAAAATCATTAGTTAAGGAGATATTTTAATTCTAACTTGTTAGGAAATCGTGACTTTCTGATCAATATTATGAATTGCCTTAACTAAACAGCAAATGTTTACCTACGTGCTACGTGCTATGAGAGGTCAGGTGTCATTAAACGAATTGTGAGTTTTTGGTTTTTTTTTTTGTTATGCAGTAACAGTGAAATTTTGTCTCTCTTATGTCTCTAATACGATGAATACGACGACACGGTGAATAATCACTTCATAATGAGGTATTCTAAAGAAGAAAAGATAGACATGTTATCAGTTTATTTTGAAGCTGGGAAACGTGCTACACAGAAAGATTATACACTATGGAATGTTAGTAAGTCATTAATTTCTCGATTCAGAAAGTGTTCTGATGCAAATAGTCGCCACATTGAGCCTTTTCTGTAAACAGACATTAAAATTAAAATATCCCCTATACTAATGATTTTTTCACATAAATGGATTAATACTTTTTTGTAAAGAATAGGAAAGAGTATCAGCTGATGCAATAAAAAATATATGATTCCATTTAAAAAAACATTAATGACCTTCATATGTTTTTTACATATGCCCCTCTCAAAACCATTCAACTTCATTTAAAACAGTGTTTGCTATGAGTAATAATAATTACGCAAATCTGTATGGCAAAATGTGGTGAGCCACCCTGTATTGTGTACGTCATTTTCACTTATATCGAGGCTTTGCTATAATACGTTTAACTCGCCTTTCGTTTCTATGGTGAACGTGTTGATTTTGTTCACGCGTCCTTTCTGTAAACCTGGTCCATATGCTCTGCATTTACTAGGATCACTGAGACGTTGAACGTTCACTGTGAATGGGGAGCCAGGTATAGGAATATTGTCGTAAAGTATGTCTACGGAATGCCGACCCTCCTCGAACGGCATGTACCTAACTAAATAGGTACCATTTCCTTGGGGAATAATGATCTTGTCGGTTGTAGCACCACTCGGATTATTAATTGTACAGGAAACCTTGTTAACATCGTTCTCTGTCTTTCCGATTCCTCGGGTGTCTATTGTGAACTCTGTTGATTGATCGACGCATTGACCTGTAATTTACAAAGAAATAAATAATTAACGTTTGTGTCGTATAGTTTAAGGTTCTGAAATCTGTGTATTCGGACGTTTTCAGAAAATTCTAAATTGTTCAAAATGCTTTACAATCATAAACTCATAGTACTTTACACAAGGGTGAATCCAAAAGAGGGATGAATCTTTCTTATATAAATTTTGAAATGTATACATGGTTTATTTACTATTACTTTTATCTCGTAGTATAATATTATTTGCATTAGTAAGTAATGAAGGTAAGGTAATTTTATTTTACGATATTAACTAATTTTTGTCAAATTTTATAACCTTTGATTATCATCCTTAATGTCCTTTGTAGATTCACCCTTGAATTTGTATATTTTGGCAAGTATATTGTTGTATTCATGCATTAAAATTGTTCTGTGTATTTAGGTACAAATAAAACATTTTTTAAATAAAACGTGCGCCTACGGAAATGAATGTGCACGACTCATATATATATGTAATTCCAGTTACTATGTACTATAAGTAAAAAGATATTTAAATTATTTTTACTATTAATTAAATGAAATATTGCGTCATAGTAACTAACACATTCAGACTCTACTGTGTAATATTATATGTATATTTTACAGAGGCGGTGATCTCTGTACATGTTCATTTGGAATTGAACGTGTAAAGCAAATACAATATCGTGAAAAACAACAGTGCACATCTAAATGCTATGTGCATTAAAAAATAAATAAATGCGTATATTTTAATGAAATAAATATCATACTTGGTTAAATTAGTAGCACACACCACACAACATACAATTTGTCACTTACAAACTTACAATATTTTATTCAAGTAAAAAGACATTCAAGGTTAAATAATTGTAAGAGCAAATATGAAACAATAATAAAATTTATAGTAAAAAAATAATTTCTTCGCATGCAGTTTTTTGTAATCGACAACATACGCTTCTGTGTAGGATCATTAATTATGTTTCCTTATAATTCGATATTAATTGCTATTAATGTATACATTTCAATAAATAATTTCGTAGAAAATTAATAATAAATTACTCGAATCACTGTACAATTTTTACAATAAATTAATAAACCAAAATAATAAATAATTAAAGTAAATTAAAATTATTACACATAAATTTATTAATAATGATTCATTTCTAAATAACCTAAATTATTTTGATAGTTTACTTATCCATTCCAAAAAACAGTTGAGATATCGTCGAAAAATACTAAAGGTTTTTTTTTGTATAAAATTTGTTTACTATTCAGTTATGTTGAATTTTCATGCAAAAAACATATCTTCTATTTCTAACTATTAAGCTTTCCTTAGTGGCTTGCTAAATCCCTGTTTCTATCACTTATATCTATGATTATTATCACTCTTGATGGATAAACAGTTCTTCAGACGATCAGTACACTATGAAAATAAGAAATTTTTAACTATTCAAACTTGAAAACTAATCCCTCACAAAATATTTCATTTGTACTCAAAAGCAGCAGTATACTGATCGCGTGAAGTCCCGATCAATAACTAAATTATAAAAAAACAACACTCAGAACGAAAGAAAACGAAGCAATCCTTTAGAACGACAGGATAAACGGTACCGTTCGGTTGTATGCCGTTGCCGGTGACCTTGATCTTGGACACATCAGTGTCCTTAACAACGATAGCCTGGAAAGGTGATCCGGGAATATGCTTTTCGTTGAACGTGATATTGATGCCATAATCACCAATTTCAGTGGGCAGATACGCAACCGAGCAAGTACCATCCCCATTATCCCGGCAATTAATGGCAGCTTCGCAAGGCCCTTCAACAGTGACACCGAGACCGCCTTGTCCAGCTCCGCGAGTATCGATCACGAACTCTGCCGGTTTGTTTACAATCCCATGTGATAATCCTGGCCCGGACGCACTCACCTTTCCAGGATCGGACCCGTGCACGCAGGTCAAACAGTACGGTTGATTCGAAATCGGCTCTCCGCCGAATGTGATGCCCAGAAGATACTCGCCCAGCTCCGTGGGCGTGAAATTGACCAGATAACCATCGTGGGTTGGCACCACGTGAGCCTTCACGCGGTTTCCCGAAGGAGATGTGATCACCACCTGAAAGTCCGCTGCCTTTCCCGCGTCCTGAGTTATCACGCGAAACTGCTGCAAACTGTTCACCGGAGCCGCTACGACACCATTCAAGTTTTTGCCGATTTATCTTTCGTTTATAGCGATAGATCAGCAGCGCGTGTAACGCGGTGAATGTGGATTGCTCGAAATAGATTTCTTGTATTTGTTGGTAGATATTTTTTGATATGGAAGTTAGATCCATAATTTGAATAGTAAGAAGTGATGTTCTTAGGAAGCATTTCTTTTAATTAACCCATTTGCATGAGCATATCTGTGCTACTGATTTTAGACATCTATGGTGACTGCTTCTCAGGACGACTGCCAGAAACGTCGAGGTCGAACTGAGAGAGCACATGTCACAACGATTTGCAAATGTTTTCGAATTGACTAAAGATATAACAAGACTAATGGCTTTGTTTTCAGACATTTGATGTCCTTAGACATCATGTAAGTAGAAAACAGTAATATTGACAACCCTATCCGTTTTATCTACTTATCTTTATCCAATACAGTTTACTGATTTATGTTTAAGTTTAAATAAATGTAAAACATGTTGTAGCGTGATGTGTTTCTTCCGTCCTCACGAGATGTTTAGATTCGATTCTCTATAGGAGCCAATCGTCACGCGTGAAATATTCCGCTTTGAAATGCAAATGGGTTAATTGCAATCTATTAATTATGACCTGAGAATAGGAATGTGAGAAAGGTGAATTAGAAAGCACTCATCGATTCCTGCTCGCTAAATTTTTAAAGTTATAATCCAATCTTCCGATATTATTCATATTTACCTACAGTGATATCAGTAGTTGTATCAATGAATACCTTGATCAATCGCAATCGTTCATCAATGTATTATAAAATTGTAGAACAAGGAAAACAATTTTGTACTTACTTCGTGCAAGACCGTCGACTTTGATCTTCGAAACATCAACATGTGGTTGAACGTTGACCTTGATTGGACTCTGGGGTACTTTTAATCCTCCATAATTCAAGTGCACTAAGTAAGTGCCTGGCTGATGTGCTATGTAATCAACGGTGTATATACCGTCTTTATTATCCGTGATCGAAAAGAGGATTTCCGCTCCTTCAGGGTCTATCATGGTAACGCGAAGATCACCTGGACCAGCTTCGCGACAATCGATGTTGAAATGCGTTGGAGTGTTAGACTTTACACCCTTCTCGAGACCAGGTCCGAAGGCTTTCACCATAGCTGGATTTAAAGGTGCTTCTACTTTCATTCTGTAAGGAGAATCCTTTGTGGCTACGCCACCGTAGTTTACCTAAAATCATAAGCAATCATTACATATATTAATGTTGTCTCAAAATTTTATTATTTTATTTAATTCTTTGTTGGGAATAACTTATATGAACTTGATCTGTTCGTATTAGTTTTTTTCTTATATAAAAATTTACCTTATTTTCATATAATAAAATTTTCACAATACTTTTTTTTCTAATATAAAGTAAGGAAAATCTTTCATTTGGATAATTTGTTCATGACTGTAAAGTATAATTTCAAATTCAATAAACGATCAAAACAACATGAAATCAAAACTATTCATTAAAAATAAATATGTTTTACTTCTACAATAAATGGCTCATATTTTGGCAAGGTCAAGGGATATGTATCATTCGTGTTCTTGTTTGACTATAAAATTGAAAATCATTCTTCATTACAATCAATCTTTGTTACAAGTAAAATGATAAAATCTATTGTTATAGTAACACTACCAACACAAGTGTAGTTGTGTTCATATTAGGGTGTATATAGTTAATTGAATCAATCAGTCTGCCTGAGTCTTTCTGTTTCAGTCTGTTTCAGTATACCTTTCTCCATCTGTCTCAACATGTCTCAATTTCACTGTTTTAGCTGGCCTCAGGCTGTCTCAGTATGTCTTAACCTGTCTCAGTATATCTCAGTATGTTTTTCGCAGTCTGTCTCTGCCTGTCTCATTCTATCTCACACAGTCTACAACTATCTATTCATATCTGTCAATTTCCTAGTATTCTACAATTAGTCTCAGTCTGTTGCAGTCTATGTTATAGACTGCTATCTGCCTCTGTCTCAACATGATCTTATGCTGTGACAAGCTGTCTCAATCTATACTTCTCAGTTTTCCTCATTTTATCTCCGTCTATCTAAGACTGTGTATATCTGACTATCTATCTTCATCAGTCTCTGTACGTCTCACAATCAATCTATTTGTCTCACACCTTCCAAACTTGAACCAGAACTATTTTGCTTATATACATTTACAAGTAAAATAAATTCTAGATTACATTCAAATATACATGATACATAACGATAAACCTACTATTATATCTAAATCAGAACTTATAATACATTTACCATGATGACGTGTTGTGGCCCAGACGTTGGAGTAAAACTACATTGTACTGTTCCATCGTGTTTATCGTCCAGATGAACCGGAACGTCCCTTCCCAAAGCGTCTTGAATGGCAACCTCCAAAGGTGCTTGACCAGCTTTTTTTACATCTATCGTGAAAACTGTCGGTTTTCCACAAGGAATGGATTTCGATTGAAATCCAGAGCGGTACACTTCAACCTAACAAATTCCTTTCCATGAGTTTTTCTTGCGAATAGGTACAGTATAATTTGTTGAGTCTACACCATATATTATCCGGGACCATATATGAACAATTAGCCAGATAGGTGAATGTTATAGGAAATAAAACGGATGTGGGTGATAGGCGAACACCTAACACGGAAGTATGTTTATTCATCATAGATATGCGAGGTATGAACTCCTTTAATTAACTCAATTTCAGGAACTGGCGAGGGCAATGATGGATATCCTGATAAGGACTTAGCCATATTCAACTATACTATTTCAAATTCATTGTTATCAATTGATGGAACAAAATTATAGTGGTGTAGTCAATTTCTGTTTCTACTTCATGACATCTTAGAAATTGTGAGGTTTATTAAACTGATAGAATGCTTGCTTTTTTTATATTCCTAGTGATTTTACTATATGTTAAAGCTATCTTGTATTAGATTCTGTATTAGTTTTTCTTTCAAATAGGGATTTTTAATGCTCACAAAATAATATTTGAAATAATTTAACTTAAACTACTATAGCTCCTTCTTACATTATACAAGTAGACTTACAACTTGCATTATTTCTTTAAACGAATAAACATAGATTTATGTACTGAACTCAATATTTGAAGAGCTCAGAGCGTCACATATAGCTCTCTTAGTCAATTATATTATCAAGCAACTTTTATAATCTAATGAAGACATCACTTTTCAATTTTATTTTGTGACACGTGTCTCATTTTTAAAATTTGACTAATATCACTTATAAATTTCATTCCATCATGATAACAGGGTCAAAAACGAACCTTGTGAGGATCGAAGTCGGCTTTCGGTAAGATATTCGCGACATACGGTGATTTCGGAATGTCCTCATTGTCGCAAAGGATGTGGATCGCGTATCTGCCCGGCGCAGTCGGCAAATAGGATACGTCCGCTGCTCCATCACCAGTATCGTGGCAAGTGATTTTCGCTTTCGATGGACCTTCGATGGAAAATCCAAGACCTCCAGTTTCTCCGTTCGTGTCAACTGTAAACTTCGCCGGATAATCGACAACTCCGGTGTAAAGACCAGGACCAAATACTCTTATAGCAGATTCCTTGTAAGGGCCTACATTCACTTCAAACGGTGATTTGTGAATTTCTTGACCACCGTACGTTATCATCACCACGTGGCGTCCTTCTTTTATTGGTGTATAATGACACTCGTATGTTTTGTCGTCAATTTTGGTCATGCTGAAAACATTGTTGTTACATTAGTTGTATTAAGTGTTATATTAGTTATATCAGTTATATTATTAGGTTTTGCATTAGTTATATTACTGTTACATTAGTTATACTAGTTATATCAAGTGTTACATTATTTATACCATTTATATCAGGAGATACATTAGTTATATTAGTGTTACATTAGTCATACCAGTTATAAAAAGTGTTACATTAGTTACATTATTTACTGTATCTTGATAAATAAATATTATTAAACAAAACTTTCTATAGATGTCAACAAGTAGTTAGAGTGTGTATACAATAAATTTGAAGTAGATTGGTGATATTATCGTTTAGACATATTAATAAATTTACTGAAGTAGCTGTATCATTTTTTAAGGTACTTTATGTTGCAAGATGATCACATATGAGCAACACAACATAGCAAGTATATGTATATACCTCAACAAACATGTACAATATATGAACAAATTGATGAATTTTTCTGGACATTTTTAATGAAACATTTTACTTTACTAAGGTAATATAACTTCTCCTTTTTGTATACTGCATGAGTCAGCTACTTGCACCTGGAGAATTTACACCTCATTTGTAAATTAAGTTAAATTGTTTATACCTTAGACGCATTCATGAATTAACATTCATATGTGAATGCAAACTGTATGTGTCTGTCTTCTGTTAATATCATACACTTGATACTATGTATATACAGAATGTTTCATTTTAATATAACAAAAATATAAAGTGTTTAACGTTGATGGGATATTGACCTTTTAATTTTTACACATTCGAAAGGAAATAAGAAATGTCTAAAACAAACATTCAAGTAACGTACTTGACAGGACGATTTACTCCTCCAGGTCCAATGACTTTAACACCGGGTACATCTTCGCCGGCACCTTTGGTGACGATCACAAAATCTGCATCGTCTTGAACACGGACTCCATTCGGTAAAATTCCTCGACCATAAGCTCTACATTTCTTCGCATCAGACACAAGGTCCACATTTACGCCGCAAGGACTTCCAGGAATTAATTTACCGGCAAAGAATATGTTTACCGAGTGTAAACCTGTTACGGGTGAAGTGTAGTCGCATCTCCACACGTTTGGTAAAGTTTGATGTAATTTTACAGGTATCGATGCCTTTACATCCTTTAAAACAGAAATAACAATATTTGAAATCGTACCGTTGAATATGTGAACAGATTTTATGTATTTTTTTTATAAAACACATATGTTCATTTTTTAATTTTCTATTTTTGATTAAGTGTACCAATATGCTCTACTGTTTCTTTAGAAATTCGACTATTATTTTTAATACCAATTCTATTATTATTTTTATTTCTAGCTTATATTTTTGTTGCATGATTTTTTGAATTTTAAAAAATGCTCCAATTTTCATAAATAATGTGAAAATGAGAATGAATATTGGATTGAAATTGAAAAACATTTAAAGTGGAAATGGAGCAGAACATAATATGAAATTATTATACAAAAGTTAAAATACAATTATTTTGATAATTTTTTAAATCTTACTCCTTTGTTATATAATTTCTACAATTTTGAAAAAAATATCTGTTTCTCACTTAATTAAGTTTAAGTGAAATAGTAATTAATTTTATGTTTAAGTGTAATTTTGTTATTACCAGAATTAATTGGATGAATAAAAACTAAAACTAATGCCTCTGTCAGAAAAAAAAATAAAATTATTTTTAGAACAACGTAATATATAAAACTCTTGAAACTTTGTATGATCTTGAGAAGTACATATTCCTGATAAAATTTAAAATCAGATATCCGAAATCAGTTATACAATTTAAAGTCAGACATCTATCGTTTAAAAGAGTTAAACGATATTTTACCTGTGGGGGTAGTATAATCACTTCCGGTACACCACGTCCAGCATCCTTCGTGTTTATTTCAAAGAAAGTCGGTTTATTAACTATAACTCCTTCAGGTTGTAATCCTGGGCCACTTGCAGTAACTTTGCCAGCATCACCAGCTTCTGCTTCAACGTTGACTACATAAGGACTCTTAGGAATTTCTCTACCAGCAAATAGTATTTTTATTTTATGTGGTCCTTCCAGTTTTGGGGTGTAGGATACGGAATATGTGAGATTCTTGTCATTGTTGAAATGAACGTCAGCCTTTGATAGAAAAAAAAGAGTTATTATTATAAAATTTATTTATTGTTGTATTTTATTAGCATAATAATATAGGATTTTTGTATGGGATGGAATAGACACACGATATAGTTTTTATAATAATTATTATAAATTTGAAGTGATATAGTAGATGTTACTTAGTAGTAATAAAGATTCAGAATTATGCGATTTGAATATTTGTGAATGTTATAATTTTAAAAATTTTAAATACAGTTTCAAAATTTGAGATTTTAGGAATTTAGAAAATTGGAAATGTGAATATTAAAAATTAGAAATTTAAAGGATTAGAATATGGAAATTAAGAATTTGAAACTTTAAAAATCTAAGAATTAAATGTCAATATTACTAGAGTTCCTGTATTAGAACTTTCCATCAATCAAATCACACTTTTCATATTTTCAGCATAAAAAGATATTTTACACTATCTGTTTCTATGCAAAATAACTTTAGATATATTTATGATACAAACAATCATACATTCCTGTGGCATTATCGTTATTATCATCAAGGAAAGAAAAATGGAACTAATCTTCATTTACTTGAAACTGTAGAAAACAAAGCATACTATATGTATATGATGGAATTTGATGAAATCACACAGTGATGTAAAAATAACTATTGCATTATACATATCCTGCTTTTTAATTAATGCGTTAACTTAATATCTATAAATAACAATTTCCTGTACAGTGGTCAACCACATTTGAGATAAGTGTGTTACGTGTACTTCATCTGTGTGACACAAGTTTTATTAGTACAATAGATCAGTTTCTCTATTAATTATTTTTTGTTACTTTATAGAAATATTTTTTTTATATTTTGAAATCAATTTTTACATATGATTACATTTATAAATGATTGCATATTTCTCAATGTGTAATAAACTTTAAAATCTTACAAGTTTATCTTATAATCAATTATCAATTAACCATCAATATGAACAATTTTTATCAGTACATTAAAATAATTTCAATGTTTAGAAGGAAAATTAATAGAAAAACTGAAAATGAAGGGACTATATATACATCATAGAAGAAATCAGAGCACATTTGTCCATGAAGTGCATTCGACAATTTAAATTTGCCGCCATAAATATGTTCCATACTGATGTCAGATAAGCCATAGGATATAATTACAAATAAATGACGATTAATTTGCAATGTAAGAAAAGATTAATTTGTATTTTTGCTGTGTGAGGTAAGTGTAATCAGAATTATTAAAAGTTGGAGTGTAAGCTAAACTATTGATGATATACATTTTCATAAGTTATGCTTGAAAAATATAATCATTTTAAGGACTTCCATCATTCTTAACCTCTCAATATCTCTATTATATATTTTATTTTAGGCATAGCTAACATCAGAAGCATTTCTTGAATAATTTATTAAGAATGAATTTAGGTTGTCCAATTATACTCTGTGATATCCACTTATTTCTTTATTTGGTAATTTGAAAGTTTTTATATTTGTATAGTGGCAAATTTATGACTATTTTCACAGGTACATTAATATTATTTAACAAAATTATTTATTTTTCAAAAACCGTCATGACTTTCACATGATCTTGTATTCAATACATATACTCACAGGTATTTTATTTCCTTCTGGGTCTTCCACCGTGACTTCAACATTTCCTTTGCCAGCAGAAAATGTTTCAACTGTGAAATTAGCTTGTACTCCAACGATTGGACCATTTGGTTCAATTCCAGGTCCATAAACACGTACTCTATGACAGAAATTACAGAAAATTACATCAGGTTCATATATCATTTTAATTGCTATCAAAAAGCATAAGGATAACACATCGTTATTCTAATTGGAAAATTTCGCAACTCCATTTTTGGCAGAAAACAAGGCTTTAATGCAATCTGATGTAAACGGTGTCCCATCTAATATGACCATCTTTAATTATCATGTTATTTGAAACAGGGTTACATTTGGATTTTATAAGAACCTGTATATTTAAAAGATTTTGGCATTATCATATGTATTTAATACAAGATATGAAACAAAATAAAATTTCATTCTTCAAATTAGACATTGAAACTTTGAAATCACAGAACTTTGTGATTTTTTTAGAGTATGAATTTTAGGATTTATAACTTACATAGTTCATCATTTTTTGAAATTTGAGTGGCATAAGATTTAATAATTTTGGCTGTTAAAAGTTTATAAAATTAGAAATTTTGGAGTTTGAAAATTAAGAATTTTACAATTTTAAAAACTTAGGAATTTCAATGTCTGGAAATGTAGAATCTGATTTGAAAATTTTGAGAGCTAAACATTTTATTCTTCTAAGATTTGAAAATTTAAGAATATGAAAATTTTGAATAAATAAAGGTTTTCCTGTAAAGTTTCTTAAAGCTTCTATAAAGTTTCTTAAAGTTTTTATAAAGTTTCTTATTACATTTACAGTCTCTTAATTAACAAATAATGTATTTATAAAAAGATTGTTTCTTATAATTAAAAATTTGTTAAAACTGTAATGACTAAAATCTTGAAACTTTAATAACTTAAAAATTCCTTAAAACTTATAAAATAAATAAATTAACCTATAAAATAAATTAAAACTGGAAAAATTAAAAACTTGTTACAGTTCCTTATTAAATGAAGAAACTAACATTATTTTTCAAGAAAGATTCATTTACAATCCATAGTCCCTTTGACATCTTTTATCCCTGCGAGAAATAGTAAAAAGATTGACTTTAAATTTCGAGGTCAAAAACAATTTTGCACAAAGATACCGATTTAAAAGTACACAATCTCATTATGGTGATTTCTGCACGTTTGATACACCCTGTAAGGATAGGGCAATAACTTTGTTAACTTGTAACAATAAAGGTAAATATTTTATAAAAAAAGCATGGATAGCACGAAGGGTGACATAACGTGATACAAATACCTGATGCGGGTGAAGACCTAATAGAAACTTGAAGGTCAACTGCATGTTTTTTAAATAGAATGTGCTGTATGTTATCTTCCAGCATAATAGCTGTTACCCACTTGACTTCCGCAAGCTATCGTTAAAGGTCATTTAAGGTCAAATGTGGTGATAAAATAAACATTCTTATATTTAGAATATTTCACCCGCGGCATTGTTGTCCTCTATCACATTGTCTCGTTTATTTTATCACCGCATTCTTTGAATACTCGCAAATAAATTACCCGGTAATTTTCATAACATTCAGAATTTAGAACATTATTATTTAAACAAACATTTTAACTAAATAAATATTAGTAATATTCTTATTTTATTAGTCATTAAGTGAAATAATTTATTTCAAAGTTTTAATACAAGTTTAATCATTTGTTGCATTTTTCTTTTACGTCAATCATTTTAAAAGTTATAAAGATATTTAAATTTAATATCAATATACTTACAAAATTAATTATAAACTTAATCGTTCTAATTACATTAAATGCATTTGATCAGTTTTCGAATAAATTTTTATATGTATAATACTATAAATATAGTTGATAAGTATAGTTCATTTTTAAATACATTTCAACAATAATGTTTGCTAAGAATTGTAAATAAATTTTTGTAAATATAAACATGAATAACTAAACTACAATTGCACTGGTAACAATAACTATATTTGCTATGCAGTTTATATTGCAATTATTGCGCACACCAATTACTTTATTTCAAAATTGACTTCGAATTATTTGCACAACTGGATGAAGTCACTGACGTATCTAGATAGCGACTAGGATATATTTGATTCGTCCCCAAAATGTAAACTGATTTTACACGTGTAAAAATTTGGAAAGTTTCAAAGATACAAATTTTTAGATTTGCAAATTTTGTAATTTCTAGATTTTATTTTTTTATTTTTTAGATTGTCAAACTTGCAGATATCGAAATACTTAATTTTTTAATGTTTGAGAGGTTGAAGTTTAAAAATTTTCAAAATGTCAGATATTCCAATTTTCCAGCCCTTAAAAATTCAAAAAATTTTCAACTCTCCATTTCTCCAATTTCCAGATTTTCAAATCTTCAAATCCCTAAATTACCGTATTCAAAAATTTTAAGTTTTCAAATCCAAATTAACAAACTTCCAAATTACAACTTTTATACATTTGAAAATTTGAAAATTTATATAGAGTCACACTTTCAAGAAGATAAAGTTTCAAATTATTAAATTCGCCAATTTACAAATCCAAAACATTTAGTTTTCCACAATTTCAATTTTTTGAATTTATGGATTCACAAATTCTTTGATTTCAAAATTTCCAAATTCCCTGACCCAAAGATTTCCAAATTTCCAAATTCCTTATTTTAAAAATTTCAAATTCCCAAATTCCCTAAATTACAAATTTTTACATTTAAAAATCCCCTAACTCAAAGATCTTCACATCAAAAAATTCTCAAATTTCCTAATTTAAACATTTTCATATTTGCATATTTTCAAATACTCAAATTCAAAAATTTCCATATTTCAATATTTCCTATTTCAAAATTCCCAAATTTCCTAGATCAAATATTTCCATATTAAATTTCCAAATTTAAAAATCCCTAAATTTCCTAATTTAAAAATTCCTATACTTAAAAATTTCCTTATTCGAAAATTAAAAAATTGTTTAATTTCTTAATTCCAAAATTTCCACATTTACAAAAGCCACTTAATCATGCCTGTTCTAAAATGCAAACACTGTTATGTTAGGACACCTAATCGACCTAGCATAAAAATTCAAGTTAGGTACGCCAGCGGTTAAAGCAAAACGTAAAACAAAGTATGTACGTTTGTCTGCTGCATTTTAATCGAACAGCTGCAAATTAAATAACGTCAAACTACGCACAACTATTATGATAAACAACAAAGTATCAAAGTGTGATCTCTGCGCAACTTACCGCGGTAGCGGGAGGCTGCAACCGAGAAAGAAAAATGCATTAATTATTAATTAATTACTCTAAATCGTCACAGGTAACATTTGATAGTAACGAAGTAAATATGAATATACAATAAATTATTTTAATAAACTTTTAAATAAAAAATAGTTTTGAATAAACAGAATTACTTTAATTAACTTTAAAGTAGTTTAACCATATTTGCTGGCACTGCATTAAACTTTAATTATTTTATTCAGTGACTTACAAATTTATTAAACAGCTCTTCATATTAAATATAAAGGAATTATTATTTAAATAATAATCCAGAAAAATGTATGTGTATTTAATTTTGTATCGAATATAAATTTATTTTGAAAAATAATTACTAATCAAAAATTAAGGTTTTGATTAATGAAGTACAAAAAGTTACAACAACCTGTAACACAAGATTTAATACTTTTAACATATTCTGTTTCATTTAAAGTAGTCCCATTCGATATTTTCGAAATTATTACTGGTATCGAAAAATGTTTCGAATGAAAGTTAAATAATTTTGAGGGACACATAATCCAATGTTAAATATTTTTTATGAATAATTGCCTGAAGGGCATTTGGTCAACTTCATTTTTCTTATCAGAAGCATATGAGCCGTTTATTTTGAAAGAGGAGCAGGTCCATTTTTTGTGAGACCCTTAAACGGATAATATTTCAGTTGTTCAATTATTCTTTTTCTGAATTTCTTTTAATCGTTTTAGTCCGAATTGTTTTTATATTCAGATCCCGACTCCAAGGTTCTTTTTTTATTACCAATATTCATGAGACTTATTTCTATAAACATAACTGAAAAATTAATTTTCCTTGAAAACAAGAATATTTTATTGGAGTGGCGTTATTTCCGGGAAAAGTATTTTCTTATTTTCTTATTTTCTTATTATTACCTACCAGTTTCATTTCTAGACGCATCACAATTATAATTTTCGTTGAAATCATTCTGAGCCGTATTTTTTCTAATAATATAAACAGTTCCTACTTAATTTTTGGTAAAAAGGAACGTTAAAAAGGAGCAACTATCTTCGATAGTACGCGTCCGAGCTAATCGGAACGATTCGGGAATCTTCGACAATTTACGCCGCGCGAGCCGGTTGCCGGTCCGTGACGGTTGGCACGTGGCGATTAGAATAGATTTCAAAGGCAAATAGAAAACACGTGTAGCGTAAATAAGTACAATAATAAAACATGTAATTAATAAATTATTAAACTAGAGGTAGGAGTCGTGGATTTCATTGCCATATCCCAACAATTTTCAAAGAACAGTGAATTTGTTCAAAGGTTTTGTGCATCGATGCTGAAATAGGAACCGTGCTGAGATCGTTGAGTGTTAAAAACTGAACTAAAAGTTATTCGCAAGCTGATAATAAATCAGCAATGATACCTAGACAAAATTACAGTATATCTTCGCTCATATGAGGATTATTTATATCACAAATATTATACAATTGGTAGCTTTTCATTGTTGTCAGTATTACTACAACTTACCAGAGGTAAATTGCGTGGTAATATTTCCGAATAACAACAGTTTTCACCTCAAGTGGACTTGCACCACTTTCAATATAAACGGCTCATTTCTTAATACACTCATTGTGTATCTTGTGGTGTATCTCATCATGCTATGCAACAAATTACTATATTTACATTGGAAAACGAACAAATATTAAAAATATTTTTTAAATGTGCTCTTGAAGCAAATGAAACTTGCAATACGTAATTTGATAGCATATTAAAAAAAGACATTTCTTATCAAATTTGAACACTTTATTTTAACTGAAAGGTATCGACATTTCAGTTTTTCCCTATTTAATGACGTACAAAAATTCTACTCCTCAAATTTTACAAACAAAATTTTGACTTGGACACTTTTTTCAATTATACAAGTAAAATTATGTTTTGAAGAGGAACAAAACGTAGCTTTGTTTAAAATAAACCTTGTACAATTTTTCGTTGAAAAAGGCGGTTTTTTAGGTAACTGCTTTAGGAAAAAATTGCTTACCTATTTCGATTAGTTCGAGGTCGAAGTGGTGCTCCTGATTTCAATTTTGCGTTAGGATATTGAGACAGGTATGTCATCATTGACATTTCATCAATGTTAGGATCCACGATTTCTTCTGGTTTGATGAGCTGTAAAATAACAGAAAACGGTAAACTTTAAATTATAATATAATCAATTGTATATATGATATACAATTACATATACTATTACAATATTTTGCTATTAAATTTAGATTATTTAAAATCTTGAAAATAAGCAGAAATGTTATTTTTAACAGTAAAAGTGTATAATGTACACATAATTCGAAATTAAAAATAAAGCAAAAGAATAAGTAAACAAACTAAATATAATTTAACATACACATTAATGCCTTATCTCGATATAAGTCAATACAAATTACAAGAAAAGTATCTTAACAAATTTTGTAATTTAAAATAAAAAACTTGTGAGTCGGTCGTTTGGTCGGTTTGTAGTTTCAGTATTAATCAAATTAACACTCAACTGTTAATTTCCGGGACTCGTTTGATCAGTAGGACAGTTACTTTACATAGTAATGGATAGTACTAAATGACTAGATTAATAGGTAACATAGAAAAATTATAGAAACCTGTGGTATATTAAGCCAATCGTCGGCTAGTCCCATCGCTTCAGAAGCATTTTGTATTGCATCTTTCGCGTTCCAGTCTTGCCAATCTGGGCAAAGACCCGGGGCAACTGCATCTACCAGCGCACCAACCGCACGACCGTCGTTCCAGTCGGTAGTGAAATTGTTGATTTGCAAATCTGGCAGTTTTGACTGGATCCATTTCATTAGTCTTTGTTTCGGCGATGCACGTTTGTCGGATCCGGTGCTTTCTTCGCCGTCCCACATCGGCATCGAGATGGAATAGTGGAGAATCAAAGTCCATATTAAGCCAAGGATCAATTTTAATTTACAGTCTACGATGTCCGATGAATCTGTAAAATAATAAATAGTTTCTAAAATAAATATCAATGACACTTTGTTAGTGAATGCATACATTCTGTATATATTCTATATCATATATGTAATTATTTTGAATATACTTTTATTTATTTATTTATCTGTGCTTATTCGTTCACTTTATAGTGATTTGATTACATATTTTCTTATTAATAATTAATGACTAGAAAAAAAGTAAAATTTCAATGTTTCTAAAGAAGCCCAGCAAAAATTGTTCATTATCAACAATTACTTAAAATTGCTTATTCGAATTCAACACAGGATAAAATTGGTTGTCTTACATTATTTCCCTTACTTATTTTTTAACTTATACTATTTAATAAGAATAATAAAATATGCAAAGTAATTCATTATTCCAAATGATTATTTGTGTTGATGATTTGAAATACCGAGATGTCTAAAAATCTACTAATATTATCTGATTTAAAGTAGATAATATAGCTGAATGACCCGTTAACCAATGACGTTTATAAGCGAATAGTAATTTAAACATTCCCCACTGAATCAGCAGAGGAGTAAAACGTCAATTTGTAAAAGATCTTCATCAAATATTCAATCGCAGCATTCACGGTCAAAATGCGGCCAAATTTTAGAGTAAATCGTTTTCAATCTACCCGTCTGCAATATTAATTGAATAGTCTCGTGGTGATTTTGCGATCATGTGAATACAAACTGCGGAACGAAATTTTAGGTTTCAGTGCTATGTTGCTAATTCGAAATGCCGAAGATTAATGTAATTTGGAATATTCCAAACCCTACTGATGCTTTTGTTTCGCGGGTAACAGCCAACGTCGAAAGAGAAGAGCGAATGCAATGTTTCGTTTGTGAAATATGGGTGCACTGTGAATGTGCTGATTATGACTCCGGAAATTACACTTGAGACTACTGCAACTCAATTTTAGGATTTAGAATTAACATTTACCTAAGATGATTGTTCCCGTACTGTGACTTTTGCACCTAATTAGGTGATAAGAGAAAATAATTTTTTTATTTAAGTTTTCTTAATTTTATAAAGCGAAGATAAATTGAAATACCATCGTAAATGAGCTGCACCGAAACTAAATCGTTACTTCATGCCATTTTTCAGTTGGTCTATGATTTGATACACTTTTTACTTCTAATCATTACCGAGAGTTTGAAACATAAAAAATTATTAGTTTCCTTATTATACAGTTTTATTTGTTTCGCCTTTTACTATAATTTTGTATTTATCTTAAACACACTTGTAATTTGAATATGCTTTACTTTTTGTATTGATTAATATAAAGCGAAATAATGCAGTAAGTACGAAATATTGCAGAAAATTTTAATCCAGACACTGTGCCATCAACACAATGGGCACCATAGTGTGATATTACGTCCCTGTGCACTCCAAGCAACAAGCCATCTAATTGGCCAACTTTAATTGTTGACAACTCTGTAAATAATGTTCCGAGCCAAAATTGGAGCAGGAACTTTTACCTCCAAATTGCACCCTTTTTCACTTTCTGAAGCTTTTATTAAGGGTTATGATACATCCTGTTTGTACAGATTGTTTCTAGTAACTGCAAAAAGTCGTATCTTTCAAGCAGTTTGAGGGAGAATAAAAAATATAAAAATTATTATTATCTGAAAAAATGTTTATATTCATATAAAAATAGTAGTGTCTCAAATAACATTTGTATTCGAATAAAAATTATTGCTGTTTCAAACAATATTTGTATTCACATTAAAATTATTACGGTTTCAAATAATGTTCATATTCATTTGAAAATTACTGTTATCTCAAACACTGTTAAAGCAGCATTTACATTCGCATAAAAATCGTCTGTACCATTCTTTGTTATAATTGTGTATTTGGCTTAAACAGTGTAATAGTATAAGTGTGCTATATTTTGTTTAAAAGTTGAATTAAATTCCTTTGATTTAAAAAAGGACGCATAGAATCGCATTAAATTGACATGCGTTAAATCGAAATTTATTAAATTTAAATGAGTTAAATTAATTCGCTTTGACTGAAATGCGTTAAATTGAACTGTATTGATTGAAATGCTTTAAACTCCACGACGTCGAATGTAAATGCGTAAAGTCGAATTGTATCTGTTTATGTGAATCGTGTCAATTTTAATCGAGTTGAATTGAATGGCTTTGAAATTAATTATGTTGAATTGAAATGCGCTAAAGTGAATTGAATCGAATTGAAATCTGTTAAATTGAACTATACTGAAGCGAAATGCGACAAGTTCAATCGCATCGAATTGAAATGCGTTAAATTGAACTGCATCGAACTGAGATGCATTAAATTGAATCGTGTCGAATTGAATCCTATGAAACTAAGTCGTGTCGAATTAAATTACGTTGAACTAAAACGCGTGAAATTGATTCGACGAGCGCGCGGTCTTATTATCATTGCATTCGTTCACGTTCAATAAATCTAAACTTTGAGAGTTTGATATTGATTTATTGGTATAACCAACATCTTTATCAATTACTCCAATAACCTCTTTAAAGCTGTCTTTTTCCGAATAATGGAAGTTATTATTAGTTTCAAGTTGAATACCGTCTGATCCAATATCTCTAAACTGTATAGAAACAAAATGTGCTAAACAACCACGTCTTAAAGTAGATGGTAGATTTTTCTCTTTAAAGTTTCACTTCGCTGCCGTACACTTTTCAAAGTGTACTTTTGGCAGCGAAAGTAGCATCCACCCGCCAATCATGAGATTTTTCAACAAATTCTCTTGCAAAAACCAGTCTTTTCTACGATTTATATCATTAATGCCTTTTTCTGACTATTTGACTCTATTATACTCATTGTTTTTTATTTTCTACGCACAGTTTCAGCACTGAGTCTCAGTAGATAATTTAATCGAAATTACTATACTTTTTCATCGAGTTTTTAATATAAAGCATTTCTATACTGGAAAATTTTTAAATAAATTGTAACAAAAGTGTGCGACTCTTAAACGATCTTAAAAATATGAGGGTAGTAGTATATTTTTCCTAACGTAAAATATTTATATATTGGAATCACCATATATCTCAAAATAATTGTTTCAAATTGAATACTAGAGAATTGATACAAATACTGCTCTAATTGTTTAAGTTTCGAATATTGCTCAAGCTAAAGTATTTATTGGGAATAGATAACAGAATGTTTTCTTGAATGAAGCGCATGTCTCAGTGCGCATGCGCATAGTACACACATTTTCCTTATAATAGTACTATGATACATCTAACATAACAAAGAACATTTACATATTAAAATCTCTATATTTCATAAAATAATTGTTTTAAATTACTTGAACGCTAGAGAATTGGTACAAGTACAGTTATTTAAGTCTGAAATATTATTCAAGTTAAAATATTTATTGGGAAAATGTAACAGAATGATTTTTTGAATAAAGGGATGTGTGTATATTCTCAACGCGCATACGCGTAGTACATATAGCGCATGCGCATGAACATGCATCTTATATCTTTTAATGACGTCTGCTAATGTACTCTTCTTCGTTACTAATACCTGTGGTATTTCTCGAAAAGTTTCACCTTTCTCTCCAAGATAAATTGTCTCTTATCAAAACTGGTATTCTTTCCTTTTCGTTGCATATTCAATTTTAGTTGTTAACGCTTCGAAATAAAACCTTTTACCGAAGTGGAATTATATTCCAGACGATTCTATACAAAACAAACCTACCCCGAAGTTCAAATAACTTCTAAATATTAGCTTGTAGAAAGTGCACTAGTGCCATATTAAAGACGCGGGAAAATAACATTTTATTTAAAATTATTTGTTCAAGTAAATATATAGTTAATTATAGTAAAAAGAAGTTGATGTATTTGTAATCTACAATAAATAATTTATCTTTCTGTAAAGTACGCAATATCTAAATTAATTCCTCTTATGTAAAACAACAACCGTAGGAATAGTACGATGTCAGAATATTAATGCAAGTAACTGTACGCGAAATTGAACGCATTGCATTTTTATGTTTTTGAAACTGTGAACGCTTAATTTACATAAATGTTCGCACGAATCGTAAAGGAAGAAAGGGAAAGCAGATAGAGGTATCAGGTGAAGGTCAAATTTGTTCAGGTATGAAGCGAGACGTCATCTTCGGTTTCGGTTTGCATACCATTCTCATTATTCCCCTGATAAGATAACTTTCTTTTAGGAAAACACATTTATGCTTACTGATTTGTTACGATGCCAGAGAGATTTCTTTCGTTCTGTTCATAGAATAAGCTGTTACGTATAACAATTATTTATTTTTAATAAAATGTGCATTTCACGAGTTTAAATTTACCGCCTTTTTGACTGCATTAGGGAACTGTATATAAACGTTAGAAGCTTTTTATATGTAATACGTTTTTTATTGAATTGTAACAATAAATCTTACTGTAGTTTGAGTGAATATATTTATTAATTTTATTACTATATAATGCAGTTATATGTTATAGATGTGATTATATATTATATATAAATTTTGAAGATTTAGGATTTTGAGAATTTGTGAATTTAGAAATGACTTTTCAGAAGTTTGGACTTTTGATATTTGGGAATTTGATAATTGTGAGATATTACAATTTTATAACTTCAAAATTTGAAATTTTATTTAGTAATTTCAGAATTTGAAAATCTCACAATTTGAAAACATTGAAATTTAAAAATTCGAGAATTTAGAACTTGGAAGATTAAGAATTTCGTTTATATTATTAAGAACGTGTCTACTTAACTAATTAACTACTTGGAATTATGAATAATAAATAAATAAAACATTGTAAACCTATTTGACAAGATTTGTTAAAGTAAAAGTACTACCTAATCAAAGTTCAGTATGACATTCAACATGTGACACTTTAATCAATAACAGAAACCTCAGCAAATGTTTCTTCCGACACTGTGTTTATTTTTCAAAAATATTTGACAAGAGTCGTTAAAAATGAGGTTAGTATCTAGTAAAATTTTGAACTGCTTCAGTATGGCAGTGAACGTGTGACACT